ATCCGCCTCCCCCTCCCCCCACCCTGACCTACTTCATTCAGGCCCCCAGGACTGGTGAACACTGGTTAAACCAGCCCCAGGAGTGGTTTCCTGGATATGGGCCCACCAACCCCCTTGCAGACACTGCTAGGCCCTCCTAATCTCAAGCTACCCCGCAGACACTGTTAGCCCCCTGACCTCGCAAGCCCACTCCACTAGCTCCCCCCCCCCGCCTCATCCTAACTTATGTGGCCATTTTTAACCTGATCTAACCTCCTCCTAACTTCTCTGAAAGTCTGTAGGTACCCTAAGTGCCAAATTTAGAGTAGGCCTCTCACAATACACCTGCAAATAATGCAAGCATGTTTTCTTATGCATTCCTCTGTCTTAGCGCATGCATTTCTCTGTCAATTTATGCATGCAGCAAGCACATGTGGGTTTGCCCATTAAGACTAAAAGTGCATTTTAGTATCATTAAAAAAGATCTGGTCTAAAATGAATACACCAGTCAAGGGCAAAGTTTAATCATGACTTTGTAATGTCCAACAAAATTTATTTGAATATCTGCTGGCAATAAATACTCAAAAGGAGTTTGACCAGAGAATTACTGGCTACCTGCATAAACACGTTGTACATGGGACAAGAGAATCATGGTCACTTTGCAGACATCAGTTAGGCATTCACATTTGAAAACTGTGAATCTCACGTCAGAAAAGGAAAAAAAGTCAGCTCTAATGTGCACAGCAGCAAGAATACTGTCCCTAGTATCATCATAAATCACAAGATAATTATGTACATGCATGTCTGCAAAAACAAAATAGAAGAATTATCTGTGTATATTATGTGCTAGATCACTTATGTGCGTGTCTTCACTGATTACAAATCGTTATGCCCTCATCAACCCAACAGTATATAAAATTCTCTGAAGTGCCCATTTTTGTAATATGACGTGTCATACAGCTCTTATAGAAAATGATTTTTAATCTTGCTGGCAAAAAGCCTAGAAAAGTCACGCTATGAAAAAAGAGTTATTCTTAAAAGAATGCCATCAACTTGAAAATCACATTTCCATCTAAAAACTCAGTACCTTATCTTGTGCAATTACAAACAACTCAAAATTATTTCAGGTCAAGAATAGTTTCATGGTTTTTTCATCATAAAGGTTACCCAAGGTCTATGGTGGAGTTCCCCAATTAAGCTATTGATTAATTGGGACTCAGAGAAATCTCTCTCTTTCTTCATGAAAATTTCTACAGGTCCTGTGTTTGTTCTCAAGCAGAATGAGAAGTGTTGAAAATTTAACATTTTCATGGAACAGAATTCTTTTATTTCAGTTTGTAGGAAAAAGGTTACTGTAATAAAGATTTTTATACACCCTACTGCAGAGCCTGAAGAAGAGAAGTAAGATCAACCAAAGAGTGAAACTACAAAAAATGTTTTCAAAGGCAATAAATGATAACAGCTTATTAGCCATGACAGAAATAGTCAAGTTAAACCTGAAACTGGAGTGACAGCAAAAAAGCAAAGGTAAAGAAGAGGTGGATGGTGTTTTTCTGACCCATACAAACAATCATATGAATTCATCAGTGAGGGAATAGAAAAGGCTTCATGATATTAAGAAAAAAAATCATCAGGACATACTATTTAAAGGATTCTGTATCAAAATAAAGATTTTTTTTAATTAATCCATTTCCTAGAATTCAAACTGATATAACCACTTTAAGATAAGGATACTTTATACTATGTTAATATATGCAAGGGACACACCCCTTAATGATTAACTATATACATAGATGGTACTCTGTCTTTGCATCATAGCTCCCTTCTATCAGATGAGGCCTCCACTGAGGCCTCCACCCAGATCGAGCCATTGAGTGAGTCGGTGGTATCCAGGCCCCCTGCCTGCAGGGGTTGCCTGGTAGGCCCTCAAGGGCCCAGGGGTAGCAGGAGGGCCAGGACTCCCCTCACCTGTCCCACGTGTGCCCTGATTGAGGCCCTGGAGGGCCAGGTGAGAGAACTCCAGGCAGAGGTGAGAAGGCTGTGGGGTATCAGGGTGATTGAGGAGGAGATTGATGAGTACTCCCATTCTCTGCAGGTTCACATGCCTAGAGGGAAGGAGTCACAGGACGGAGTCAATGCAGCTGGATGGCAGACAGTCACTTCGGGGACTAGATGTCGCAAGGCCAGGATGACTTGCTCAGTGCAACTGGAGAACAGATATGAGGCCCTAGCATCACTGGCAGAGAGCACAGCAGTGGAGACCACTACCACAGACACCACCAAGTGAGATAAGAGAGAACCATGCAGCCGGAGAAGACGACGTTGGGTCATCACGGTGGTGACTCCCTCCTGAAAGCAATAGAGGGAGCCATCTGCTGCCTGGATCCCACAGTACAGGAGGTATGCTGCCTGCCTGGAGCCCGGATTTGAGACATCACAACGAGGATTCCAGGCCCTCCAACTACTATCCCATGGTCTTCATCCATGTGGGAATGAATGATGCAGCCTGAAGTAGTCCAGGCGGGGTCATGAGTGACTTCATGGTGCTGGGAGCCAGGCTCAGAGGATCGGGAGCACAGGTGGTATTCTCATCCATCCTAGCGGTCAGTGGTTGAGGACAGCACCACAGCAATTGCGTTAGAGAGGTCAACTCGCAGCTTCAGAGCTGGTTCCATCATGCGGGGTTTGGATTCCTTGACCATGACCTGCACTTCCAGGATTAGGCCTTGTTCAGACAAGATGGGCTACATCTCTCTCCAATAGGTAAAAGTCTGTTCTCTTACTGGTTGGCTGATCTTCTATGCCAGGATTTAAACTAGGTTCGGCAGGGGGTGGGGATGTTGATGACAGGGAGACGCCAGGAACAACGAACCTCAAGCCAGGCACTGGAACAGTCCAGGTAAGTACCAAGGGCCCTGCTAAGCATCAGAATGAAGAAATAGCAAGGGCACCTATTGCAGGGCTTAGATGCCTCTATACTAATGCTAGAAGCATGGGGAACAAGCAGGAGGAACTTGCACTCCTGCTTGCAAATAAAGAATTTGACCTGGTTGGGCTAACAGAAACTTGGTGGGATCCTACCCA